TCAAATAATGAAACAGGCATTTAAAGGGTTAAAATCCTGAAAATTATTGGATGTTTGGTAGTTTTAAGCATGTTAGAAGTTGTTCAAGTGATTCATGGAAAAAAAAGTTTAATAAAATATTGATGTATGATGATTTAATAGCAGTTTTTATGAGCGTGTACATTTTTGCCACGAAGGGGTCCAGAGGGTGCAAAATGCATCACGAGAGTATACAAAACATGTAAGAGTAAACGACATTGGATTTCAAAGATTTGACTCAAAAGAAGACTTCTTGCAAAAATCCATGCCAAAAGCTGTAACACAGCTGAAATGATCACCAAATAAAAAAAAAAAGTCAGGAAAAATGTACAAAAATGCCCGAGGAGGGCACAAGGGTTAAGGAGGGGGGGCTGCCCTAGCATTTTGTTGTTGTTACCAGTTTATGACCGGGCAACTCTCGGTCAGAGATAGTTATTGTTGTGGGACACCTGAGGCCTGTACTACGAAGCCGGATATTCGCTTAGCCGGCTGACTTGAGGGAAAACTCGGCCTTTCCGGTCCTACGACGCTGGTTCTCTTTTTAGCGGGCTAGATCTCCATGGTAACTTATGCTGAGCGGCTAACCTCCTCGGGAGGAGGTTAGGTTGCAGGCTAAGAGATCAACTCAGTGAAAGCCCCGCCTGCTGACCAATCAGAGCTCCGTGTGCAGAGTTTAAAGCTATCAAGTCATATTACAGGATAGAGGAAATACAGAAAAACTGCCGTTGCAGGAAAGACGGTCGGCAAAAATCAACTGACTGTGTGAACGTGAAAATTAATAGAATATCCCCTCCCATCTTCAGAGCAATCTGACTATTATAACATTAGCATTAAGAAAGCTTACTTAAATATCTGCCACAACATAAGTAACCGGATCAGAGTAACATTAAGTACAGTCCGCGGCACTGTGAGTGCAGACGTCGATGTGTCCCATTATCATTCATATCATATCACATCATAATGTATCATATATTTCCTTATTTGAGTCAGCTTCTTGAGCCGTATCTGGCCGTGCAACACTCACAGTGTCACATACTGTATGCAGAAGTATTATTTTAAGCAACACATTAAGTTGATGAAACACTCGAGTCAAATGTAATTAAAGTCAGATCTACTCGTGTCTTGGACGGGGCATATCATAAACCTGTTAATGTACGCATTCAAACGCTTTTTCTTTTACCAGCTGTATTCACCTTGCAGGTGCAGCTATGTGGCTTTTATCCTGGATAAAGTGTTTAAGTCATGGATGTTTAAAGTTTAACTTCTTCATATTTGACTAATATTAAAGTTCACTTTTCATTCAGGAAGTATGACGCTGCGCGGTCAGTACGCTTGTCCATGTTTGTGATTGGTCGAATGCTCCAAATACCACCCCTTTCATGTGAACGCGCACCTAACTAGATAGGACACGGCTGGCTTGAGCGATCCACTTGATAACCAGCGTCGTAGTACAGCTTAGCGAGAGCGCGTATGTTTTGGATTGGGCCAACCGGCTAACTCAAACATATCCAGGTTAGGTTGAACCAGCTTCGTAGTACAGGCCTCAGGTGCCAGAAAGCCACAAGTGGGACAGAGAGTATGTTTGTGTGGGACAATGTGGGACATGTAAATGTAATGTTGACGCATGAACTGTCAACGGGGGGGGGGGGGGTTGGGTACACTGTGGACCTCTGTCGCCTGTCAGCGCAACTTCCATAATGCCGTTTAAAACATATAATAATGGGCGGTGCCGGCCGTCAGCGAACCGAGCCGACCTTTCTCCGCAGAAAAGCGTTTTGGCCAATCAAAATGAAATATGCGGGACATCGTCTCAATTTGCGGGACGCACCAAAAGTCGTGAAAATGCTGTGCAGTCCCGTGCAAAGCGGGACATCTGGTCACCCTAATCAGAAGATCCATGAGTTATATGTGGATGGCTGTGATTGTGCACATCAATAATAGGCCTAAAACACTTTAAAGGCCTTATTTACTATCGTGTTAGTCAAACTTTAACTTTCTCACGGCGGATAAGGAAATGTTCATGGACTTTGCCCTCCAAACAAGTGTGCCTTTAGTCTCCTGTTAAAATGCTGGATCTAACTAACTAACTAACTAACTAACTAACTAACTCCTAAAAGGCCAGATTAATCTCCGCAGGTTTCCCAACCTCAACGGGACAGATGGTCAACGGCGCGGTGTTCTTCCCGTTGTCATGAAGACACGGGTTTAAGTACGGGTAGAGAGGCTCGGTGAAAAGACAGCCTGTGAAAGTGTAAATGTGGGTCTTTGCGTCTGCGTTGTAGAAGGACACCGACCCTTCCTCGTAGTCCAGGAAGACGGCTACTTTCTGGGGTTTTTCCTGGAGATGGAGGGCGACGGAGGGTCCGGCACAGGCCTTGAATTCAATGCCTTTTCGCAGACAAATCGCCCAGTAACCGGCGTCAGGACGAACCGTGATCGCCCCCTTCCTGTTGATGGACTCCCTCGCCACACCAAGATCCCAGTCTGACTTATCCCCAACCTGAAACCAAACGTAGAGAATTGAGATAAGTAATATAGGCAAATGAAAGCTGCAACCATGCTCACTTTTCCTAAATGCAAGCGGCCTGTAAACAAAAGTCGGACACACCTCCACAGGACATAATTTAAGTATTCTGTCACCCTCTCCAGGATTAGAAATAGGGGACAAGGTTGGATCGAAATGTATTCCAGTCCCTGATGATAATAGCCGCGTTCACACCAAGTACTTTCCTGTACTTAGTTCCGGCACTCAGAGCCCCGGCGCTTTTTACCCCAGGGCACTTAGTACAGATCGCGTTCACACCGGAGTACTTTTTCCCTGAGGGAAGATTACGCAAATGAGCCGCTGACGTCACTTCTTCTTCTTCTGCTTTGGCTTTACTGGCAGGCCACAAACCACTTCACGGCGAGTACAGTAGGTGGCGGTATGCACCTTAAAGTTGTTTGCAATCCGCTACAAACGTCTTCTGCAGGATGAAAGCAATGAACTGAGAAAACCTGGAATATCTGCATCATTCTGAAACCAATAAAGCCCTAAGGTGTTTAGTCAATATGAAACTATTTTAAATCTTAACCGGTTACTAGAAATGAACATATTTCTGAAGAAGTTCTGAGGCTGAGTGTTTTGACAGGCGCTGCTTTGTCTGCCAATCCAGTCAATCATAAAGGAAACCACAATCCTCTTAAATGCTGTTTCGACCTCGCCCACATATTTCAGCAGGTTAAGTGCGTTCAGACAGCTTCATCTCCTTTCGGTTTGAACGGCTTATGTACCTAATAATTACGCACTCCACCTGGTGTGTATTTGGTTTCAAAGCAACATTAGTTCAGTCACTGTGATCACACACTTGAAACAGAAACTTCGGACAATATTGAATCCTAGTTTAATTATGTCAAGGAATAATTTCCATAGATGTTTACCTTTTGCCCTCTGACGCAGATGCCCAGCTTTGGGCAGCATGCTATCTCCCTTAAGGAGGGGGGGCTGCCCTAGCATTTTGTTGTTGTTACCAGTTTATGACCGGGCAACTCTCGGTCAGAGATAGTTATTGTTGTGGGACACCTGAGGCCTGTACTACGAAGCCGGATATTCGCTGACTTGAGGGAAAACTCGGCCTTTCCGGTCCTACGACGCTGGTTCTCTTTTTAGCGGGCTAGATCTCCATGGTAACTTATGCTGAGCGGCTAACCTCCTCGGGAGGAGGTTAGGTTGCAGGCTAAGAGATCAACTCAGTGAAAGCACCGCCTGCTGACCAATCAGAGCTCCGTGTGCAGAGTTTAAAGCTATCAAGTCATATTACAGGATAGAGGAAATACAGAAAAACTGCCGTTGCAGGAAAGACGGCCGGCAAAAATCAACTGACTGTGTGAACGTGAAAATTAATAGAATATCCCCTCCCATCTTCAGAGCAATCTGACTATTATAACATTAGCATTAAGAAAGCTTACTTAAATATCTGCCACGACATAAGTAACCGGATCAGAGTAACATTAAGTACAGTCCGCGGCACTGTGAGTGCAGACGTCGATGTGTCCCATTATCATTCATATCATATCACATCATAATGTATCATATATTTCCTTATTTGAGTCAGCTTCTTGAGCCGTATCTGGCCGTGCAACACTCACAGTGTCACATACTGTATGCAGAAGTATTATTTTAAGCAACACATTAAGTTGACGAAACACTCGAGTCAAATGTAATTAAAGTCAGATCCACTCGTGTCTTAGACGGGGCAGTGATTTCATAAACCTGTTAATGTACGCATTCAAACGCTTTTTCTTTTACCAGCTGTATTCACCTTGCAGGTGCAGCTATGTGGCTTTTATCCTGGATAAAGTGTTTAAGTCATGGATGTTTAAAGTTTAACTTCTTCATATATGACTAATATTAAAGTTCACTTTTCATTCAGGAAGTATGACGCTGCGCTGTCAGTACGCTTGTCCATGTTTGTGATTGGTCGAATGCTCCAAATACCACCCCTTTCATGTGAACGCGCACCTAACTAGATAGGACACGGCTGGCTTGAGCGATCCACTTGATAACCAGCGTCGTAGTACAGTTTAGCGAGAGCGCGTATGTTTTGGATTGGGCCAACCGGCTAACTCAAACATATCCAGGTTAGGTTGAACCAGCTTCGTAGTACAGGCCTCTGGAACACATCCTTCTCGGGGTGTAGATGACCCCGAGCCATAAGCGACAACAAATGTGATTCAGCGTCCTCAGCTGTTTAGTCTATCTATTGAAGAATGTTGATTACTACACTCTGAACTAGTTAAAACCTCGAGCTACAGGAGGGTTCTTCAGAATTGATTGTGGCGTCTCAACCGTGTGGTCAACTCGTGGCCCGTGACGTGTCGTGTGAATTCTCCGGCCGAAGCTCCAAATAAACCGTCAGTGTTTGCCATCAAAGCTCCAGCTCTCCATCGTGTCTCTCTGAGTCCTGACTCCAATTGCTTCAGAAGTTTCCCCCACACATTAGAAAGAATACAACTTTTATTTATTTACTTTGAAAGTATTTACAGTCTTTGTACATTGAAAACATACACCCTCATAAAAAACAAACATGTTCTGATCATTTGTGTTTACAAATGTTGGCAAAAAGAATCAATTAAGCACACTAATCTATATGAGGGTAAACAATGTTTTCCTTAATAGGCAGAACTTAAATAATAAATGCAAAAAAAAGATCCTCATCGTACATTTTTGTAGAAAGATGTGAGAAGCAGTTTCATTTTCGGGAACTTAAAGAAACGTCAAAAGTGTGGTGATTTCTTTTTACAAAAATAAAGTCGGGATTATTTTTACAAATGGAAAAATAAAAACAAAAGTGTCTGTCATCCAACAAAAAAAAGTGATATAACTGAGTCCCAGAACCAGAACATATTTACAATCACATTAAAGTCCTGTTTACGGTAGCCACATGTGCTCCAATGGTGGTAGCCATCTTGATTTTTTGAAACAAGTCAATCAAACGCTGTACACCAAATGTTACAATTACTTTTATAAAACATTAAAAAAGGGTTATTCCTAAGAGAAAACCATGGACAACACGACAATATTGAGTAAGCAACCTGTCGAAAAACACGTTGGCCCCACCAAAAAGCTTATTACTCATTGGAATATCATTTACAAAATAAACATCATGCTGTATTGAAGAAGACACTAAACTAGCATTCGAGAACAAAAACTCATTATGATAAAGTTTACTGAGGTAATAAATCAAGTAAGAAGTAGAGTCATTTTCTCATAGACTTCTATACAACTGGAGCCCCCTACTGGCTGTTTAAGGGAATCACGTGGTTTTGGCAAAAGGGCAGATTTGTTTAGTTGGCTGTTCTGGGATCAGAAGATCCATGAGTTATATGTGGATGGCTGTGATTGTGCACATCAATAATAGGCCTAAAACACTTTAAAGGCCTTATTTACTATAGTGTTAGTCAAACTTTAACTTTCTCACGGCGGATAAGGAAATGTTCATGGACTTTGCCCTCCAAACAAGTGTGCCTTTAGTCTCCTGTTAAAATGCTGGATCTAACTAACTAACTACTGTAACTAACTAACCCCTAAAAGGCCAGATTAATCTCCCCAGGGGTCCCAACCTCAACGGGACAGATGGTCAACGGCGCGGTGTTCTTCCCGTTGTCATGAAGACACGGGTTTAAGTACGGGTAGAGAGGCTCGGTGAAAAGACAGCCTGTGAACGTGTAAATGTGGGTCTTTGCGTCTGCGTTGTAGAAGGACACCGACCCTTCCTCGTAATCCAGGAAGACGGCTACTTTCTGGGGTTTTTCCTGGAGATGGAGGGCGACGGAGGGTCCGGCACAGGCCTTGAATTCGATGCCTTTTCGCAGACAAATCGCCCAGTAACCGGCGTCAGGACGAACCGTGATCGCCCCCTTCCTGTTGATGGACTCCCTCGCCACACCAAGATCCCAGTCTGACTTATCCCCAACCTGAAACCATACGTAGAGAATTGAGATAAGTAATATAGGCAAATGAAAGCTGCAACCATGCTCACTTTTCCTAAATGCAAGCGGCCTGTAAACAAAAGTCGGACACACCTCCACAGGACATAATTTAAGTATTCTGTCACCCTCTCCAGGATTAGAAATAGGGGACAAGGTTGGATCGAAATGTATTCCAGTCCCTGATGATCTTGTCTTCATCTGTTACAAAGAACATCCTTACAGCCACAAGGGGGCATTGAAGAGCTATTCTTTCATATCAAGGGATGTGCAAGTGTTTTTTTTCTTTCCTGTACTTATAAACATGGCCGTACCCGTAAAACAGATATCTAGATCATGAAAATTTAAAAAAAAAGCCCCCCTACGGGCCCTAGCATGTTTTGGACCTCGGTATTTACGAAATCATAGATACGGGCCTGCTTATAGATGACATCCATTGGTCAACTTTATTTTGAAATACAGCCAATCCATAAAGCAGGAATACATCCTTTTAACCTTTGACGATTGGTTGCACTTGGAGAGAACAGTGTAGAGTAGAGCAGGGGTGTCAAACTCAAGGCCCGGGGGCCAAATCCGGCCCGCGACTTCATTTAATGTGGCCCCACAAGAGCTCTGAAAGAATATAATAAGTTTATTATACGGTTACATGCCGATTTACAGAAGCACGTTGCCCATAAACTACATGTCCCACAATGCATCTCAAATATGAATGTTGTTCAGAATTGGACTCTTTTCTCAGAATTTGACTTTTTTGCTTCAAAATTTCGCATTTCTTTACATTTTCAAATCTTTTCCAGATTTTTTTTTTTATCATTTTGTGACATTCTCACTGAAGAGACTTCCAATTATTTGCCCTAGACTTCTGCTTTCAGACGTAGTTAATTATTAAGTTATTACCCTATCCCATAATAATCCAATGCAGAGGAAATATTGTAATATAATACATACGTTTATATATATTAAATATTTATATATGTATTTTTATATAGTCTTAAAGTTACAACCGGCCCTTTGAGTGCAACCATAATGCTGATGTGGCCCGCGATGAAATTGAGTTTGACACAGCTGGAGTAGAGGGAATATCATCAACTTCAAAAACGTGCTTATTGAATGTATTTCCCTCATCCCAAGTTACATTTCTCATGAAAGCAGATACAGAAATGTTGAATTCTGGAAAAATAATATAAACCCCATTGGCAATAAATCTGGTTCTGGTCTGAGTTCCTACCTGGACCACCCAGTAACGTCTCCCCGAGGTGAAGCTTCGTTTCCCCAGAACGGAGACGCAGGAGTCAAATCTGCGAGGGTCGTCAGGGGGGGGAGGTTTCTTCTGCTGGCTGCTGACGCTCACCTGGAGATCAACAACAACAACATCACTTACGTTCAAGTGTTGGAATATATCAGATAATTCCGTCATTAGTCTTATTAGTCCATGACATGTTACTTGTTTCCCATCTGCGGACAAACACAGCCAGCCAGAAGCAGTCACTGGATCCAACGTCACGTCCACTGGAGAAGGAGGAGTTGTAAGTCAGATCACATTCAATTAACTTCACCAAATTAGACTATATGAGCGCTATTGGGTTTAAAGTCCAATATTTCACTTGTACAAATATTCTGGTGCAGGTTTTGCATGTACACACAATAACTGTACAGTATGCCAATACATTCAGACAGAAATAACAGACTGAACCTAGATAATAGCGGACTAAAGCTGCTTTTTGGCACGCAGTTTAGAAGTGCTGCAGAACTCAGATCAGTTTTGTGACTGCTGTGTTTATTACATGGATACATAATGTATACAAACTCTGGATAATGTTCAACGAGAAGTCATTAATTGGATATTTTCTCTTTAAGTACCTATTTATGGCCATTTTTGTTTCTAGGGACTAAACATTAGTGACAATGGGATGATTTCACATATTCAGAAACATACCTGCATATTGACTTGCCTTACTCATCTCTACAGAAAAGAAGAACATAATTGTTAGTTACAAACATGTATAGGCTATGTAATGTTGATTCATTTGACAAATGATCATGTGATACACCTATAATAAAGTATAATACGCTCAATGATAGACAGTTATAAAGTGTTTATTTGAGGATATAACTAACCATGTCTTGAAGTTACTGACCTTCTGCAGACAGATTCTTTTCGAGCACATGACACACATCCATCAGCTTGGTGAAAGATCTCCTCAGAGTTCCTATGTTGTCCGAGTAAACTCTGACCTGAGACCAGTCCTTAGCGGCCAGCGGAGCACTCAGAGAGGGGAAACTCTACCACAGGAAGCAGAGGTGGGAAGTAGTGGAGTACAAATACTTCGTTACTATACTTAAGTACATTTTTCTGGTATCAGTACTTTACTCCACTACTTATTTTTCTGACCACTTTCTACTTCTTACATGTTGAACCCAAATACCTGTACTTTCTACTTCTTACATGTTGAACCCAAATACCTGTACTTTCTACTTCTTACATGTTGAACACAAATACCTGTACTTTCTACTCCTTACATGTTGAACCCAAATACCTGTACTTTCTACTTCTTACATGTTGAACACAAATACCTGTACTTTCTACTTCTTACATGTTGAACACAAATACCTGTACTTTCTACTTCTTACATGTTGAACACAAATACCTGTACTTTCTACTTCTTACATGTTGAACACAAATACCTGTACTTTCTACTTCTTACATGTTGAACACAAATACCTGTACTTTCTACTTCTTACATGTTGAACCCAAATACCTGTACTTTCTACTTCTTACATGTTGAACCCAAATACCTGTACTTTCTACTTCTTAAATGGTGAACACAAATACCTGTACTTTCTACTTCTTACATTTTGAACACAAATACCTGTACTTTCTACTTCTTACATGTTGAACACAAATACCTGTACTTTCTACTTCTTACATGTTGAACCCAAATACCTGTACTTTCTACTTCTTACATTTTGACACAAATACCTGTACTTTCTACTTCTTACATGTTGAACACAAATACCTGTACTTTCTACTTCTTACATGTTGAACACAAATACCTGTACTTTCTACTTCTTACATGTTGAACACAAATACCTGTACTTTCTACTTCTTACATGTTGAACACAAATACCTGTACTTTCTACTTCTTACATGTTGAACACAAATACCTGTACTTTCTACTTCTTACATGTTGAACACAAATACCTGTACTTTCTACTTCTTACATGTTGAACACAAATACCTGTACTTTCTACATGTTGAACACAAATACCTGTACTTTCTACTCCTTACATGTTGAACACAAATACCTGTACTTTCTACTTCTTACATGTTGAACACAAATACCTGTACTTTCTACTCCTTACATGTTGAACACAAATACCTGTACTTTCTACTTCTTACATTTTGAACACAAATACCTGTACTTTCTACTTCTTACATGTTGAACACAAATACCTGTACTTTCTACTTCTTACATGTTGAACACAAATACCTGTACTTTCTACTTCTTACATGTTGAACTCAAATACCTGTACTTTCTACTTCTTACATGTTGAACACAAGTACCTGTACTTTCTACTTCTTACATGTTGAACACAAATACCTGTACTTTCTACTTCTCACATTTCCCAAACAGGCTGGTTCCTTTAGTTTGAATGTGTGTTTGGTGGCGTGATCATTATTATTTAGAGTCATTGCGTGCCTATTGATTTGAACACGATCCGTGTATCCATCATTTCCTGGTCTTCTCTAAAGAAGAGGGACCAATGAAAACGTTGTCATGTTGCCGTTGTTCAGCATGGAAACATTCATTAGCTAACAATGACATTATTGTTCTATTAATATAAAGGGAGGTCAGGTACTCTTTAAAACAGCTGCTAGTTATGGGTACTTTTTACTTAAAGTGGACCTATCATGCTATATTTGAATAATATAGTGTAGGACCATACCTATATAAGGCATATTTATACTTTTTTTTTTTCAAAATACCAAACAGATCATGCATTTTAGCCATGCCTCATTTTGCTCAATTTGACATTTTCTAGCTCTGTTTTAGCAAGGGCTGATTCAGTGAGAACAGCACCATCTACAGGCCTGGCATATGTACTACAGCGTCTCCAGCGCTTTCGAACGGCAATGGCCGTGGCTGTCTCCTCCTGATTGGTGGAGTTGGCCCAATAGCCGTAGCGCCACCGTCCTGACGTCAGGACAGTGTTCAAATCTGGATCAGTTTTTATCAGATCCGTTGCAGCCCCTTTTTTAGAGATTTGGGTATTGGAGGAAAATAGAGAGGGTTGTGTTTTCTGACACTTGGTGAGTTCCCTGGAACACCGGGGACACATATTCATGTAGAAAAGACGTACAAAAGTGCATTTTGCATGATAGGTCCCCTTTAAGTACATTTCAAAGCCCTCTTTACTTTTACTTGAGTAAAGAAGTTTAGTCAGTACTTCTACTTTTACCAGAGTATTTTAAAACACGAGTATCTGTACTTCTAGTTGAGTAAAGGACGTGTGTACTTTTGCCCTCTCTGACAGGAAGACAGTGACAACATGATCAGCAGAAAGTATGAATAAAGGTTGTTTCCATGCCATTCTCACCTGCAGCAGATGAAGAGGGTCCTCGGTGTTCTCCAGGTGCTTCAGCTCACTTCTTCTTTTCCGCACTTCATTAATTTCCCGTACGAGATCTTTGATAAACTCCTCCTCCATCCTCTCAGCCGCTTCGTGCTTCTGCTCGATCTCCTCCACGATGAAAGAATGGTCTCTCTCGATGGCACTTATCACCCCGGTGACCACCTGAATGCTTGTTTGGATCTGCAGTTCTTTGTTTTTCTGCAGATGTGCACAATTTGGTGTTAATTAATATGTAAAATAATGCAAAACACCACATCAGAAGAAAGTTAAACCAGAGTTTATATCTGAGTTGTGTTACTGGCATGTGTGCTTTACAGTCATACTCTAATCAGTAGATTATATGTTTATACATCATTTAGAATCAGTAATATTTTTTGTTTATCAATTTGACACTGATTAATTTGGTATTGTATAATAATTCTCATGTTACATTTTTGTTTTACACATTTGAAATAAATCTAATCAAGTAAAAAAAAAATAAAAAAATCACACCTGATTCTTTCCTCTTTGACAATGCCAATTATTGACCAATGTATCCCACTTGTCCTGTTCCATTTTAAAGTACAAAAGGGAAATGTCATTTGTAGTGATCATTGAACACACGAATTGTGTCTAAAGCCCTTTAATAGTGTTTTATTTGTATTTATTTTTTGTTGTCAGAGTATATATATATATAGATTTTCTATCTTCACAGTCTACTGTATATTTTCTACTTTTTAATGCCGTTTTAATTCTATTTTGAGATGTTTAATTTCTAGTATTGTTTATTTCTACTCATGTGCAATGCCTTGTTTTTTTGTATGCTGCTGCAACGCAAAAAAAATCTCAATTTGCGATCAATAAAGTATCTGTTATATTATCTTAGTGCCATAATTTGTACATAAACTAACATCTTCCAATCCAATTTCAAAACAGATGATGAAATTCAGGGCATTGCCAAAGTTACTCATCTACTGTAAGTGGGACATAAATGGCTGGAGTAAAGTTAAGGGCAATCTATAGTCTATTCCTGCTAAAAACAAAATCATACAGTTCAATGCTTTGTAATAATCTTTTTGTCTGGTTCCTACAACAAAGTCAGCTTCATTTTGTATTCTGAAATGTAAATTGCGAGAGTATCTACTGGAAGAAGGGGCTTCAGTTTCTTTATCGTTGAGCAGAAATAAGCCAAATGCAAAGAGACAACGATGACATCTCTTGTTAAAGTCAAGAAGGGACCTTCAACTTACTTTCCTCAACTCTGCCGATATGTTGATCTCCTCCAGCTTTCTGCTTCTTGCCTGGAACATCTGATTAAACTCTGCTTCCATCTTCTTCATCTGAGTCTGCAAAGGAATTCATAATCAAGAAAATGCTGTAAGGCAACTATCAGGATGAGGAAATGCATTTTGTTTTGCAGAAATGTTTTGTAATCTCAAGGTACACTGGAAAAAATGCTGCTCCGAACTTGTTTTCATTATTCTTTCACTTGTTTTCACTTGAAATAAGTACAAAAATCTGTCAATAGAACAAGTGAAAATTAGCTTGGTCAGATTTCTTGAAATAAATCAGATCTTGTAATTAGCTCGGAGAACTCATTTTGAACTATATTTTTACCAGAATTAGGAAATGTTGCGTTACAATATAAGCCTCAAATGCTCAAAAGTGTTCTGTTTTTTTATGTTAGTTGGTGATTTTCCAATAAATATATCAAGTTTCATCTGAGATACAACTCAAAATAAGATTATTTGACTTAACAAGATGATGCATTGTCTAAAAACAAGACCCTATATCTCACTGCAGTGTTACTTCTGAAGTTATTATGTCTTAGTGTAAAGACACATTCTGACTAGATATTAGACGAATATACTTGGCAAGATTTCAAGTTTTTGTCGTGTGTTCCTTTCCTCACCCTGACCCTCTTGCTTTCCTTCTCGATGGGGACGATCTCATGGCTCCAGTGGTCCATCTCTCTACATTTCACACAAATAGGCGTCTGATCCCTCTTGCAGAACGTATCCAGGATCATGTTGTGACTCTTGCAGAGGTGACTGGTGACGAAGAAGGCCGGATCCGTCAGTCCGTGCTTCATCAGCGGTGGATCCCTAAGATGTGGCCTCAGGTGAATCGTACAGTAAGACGCCTGGCACACGAGGCAAGACTTAACCGCTATGATGTCGTTTCCTGGGCAGATGTCACAAGAAACTTCTTCCGATTCTTGTCTCTGCACCATCATCTTCCGCGGGGCTGGCTTGTATTCACGATGGCCCTTTATAGACCTGTTGATTCAAAACAGATTTAGTTCAAGTCAAATTGGCTTAAGAGAGTATGTGTGATTATGCAAGCAGAGGTGGGAAGTAGTGGAGTACAAATACTTCGTTACTGTACTTAAGTCAATCTTTCTGGTATCAGTACTTTACTACACTACTTATTTTTCTGACGACTTTTAACTTTTACTTCTTACATGTTGAACACAAATACCTGTACTTTCTACATGTTGAACACAAATACCTGTACTTTCTACATGTTGAACACAAATACCTGTACTTTCTACTTCTTACATGTTGAACACAAATACCTGTACTTTCTACTTCTTACATGTTGAACACTAATACCTGTACTCTCTACTTCTCACATTTCCCAAACAGGCTGGTTCCTTTAGTTTGAATGTGTGTTTGGTGGCGTGATCATTATTATTTAGAGTCATTGCGTGCCTATTGATTTGAACACGATCCGTGTATCCATCATTTCCTGGTCTTCTCTAAAGAAGAGGGACCAATGAAAACGTTGTCATGTTGCCGTTGTTCAGCATGGAAACATTCATTAGCTAACAATGACATTATTGTTCTATTAATATAAAGGGAGGTCAGGTACTCTTTAAAACAGCTGCTAGTTATGGGTACTTTTTACTTAAGTACATTTCAAAGTCTTTACTTTTACTTGAGTAAAGAAGTTTAATCAGTACTTCTACTTTCACCAGAGTATTTTTAAACACGAGTATCTGTACTTCTACTTGAGTAAAGGATGTGTGTACTTTTGCCATCTATTCATAAAAAATGTGCACATACTTTTTAAATTGCTCGGTGATGTCTCTCAAGGCTACGTTGACCCTGAGATCTGGACGGGTTTTGAAGTCTTCTTTGCATAGAGGACACTCAAACTTATGCTTCGTGTCCCAGAAGCGTTTGATGCACCTCTGGCAGAAGTTGTGTCCACATGGGATGGAGACGGGGTTTCGGAACATATCCAGACAGATGCTGCACAGAAACTGATCCTCGGACAACGCAAAGGCCATGTTTCTGACTGGAGAAGAACATTATTTTACTCACACAAGCGGTAACAACACTTATTGTACATGTTATAATGTAAAAAAAACGTTGCTTAAAGTTGAGTTTTAACCTAAAGGTGTTGGGAATGTGAGAAAAGTACAAATTAAACTTTTCTGTAGATACTATATGCAGACGATACCTTGCTTTAAAAATCAACATCATCCAAAGCAGCTGTTTAGATCAACTGAATTGTGTCTTCACATTAAAAATACTCAAAGTGCATAGCGGTGGTTATTAGCTAGCTACACGTGGACTAAACACACACAGAAGTGGAGCCTTTTCCTGCTCAGGACGTCATTTCTTCACTGGTACTTTATCAGAATCAGATAATCTATTTAAGAAATGTTACAGGAAAGGGACAGTGCAGATAAAAGTACTAGATATATTACATAAAGAGGCAATAACCTTTAAAGTAGGTGAAAGGGTTTTGTTAAAAAGTACCTCACTTAAAAAATGTATTAACCTTTGGTTTGTGTCTTTGACAGATTCAATTATCCCTAAACACTGGTTAAAAGAGCATTTTTGTTTTGGTTTGAAAGTTTGTGCCTCATATGAAATCCACTTAAATTACACTTAGCCTTTTTTGGTTCATCGTAATGCAATCTTTATAATATCCACTTTGACGTTTCTAGCTCCGAAGCTTTTGTCTTTTAAAAACATTCCTGAAAATGTTAGCATTCACGACAATAATGTGTTCAAACTAAAGCATAGACTAGTGATACATACTGTTGTATATGCCAGAGGTGGGAGTAAGTCCTACATGTGCAAGTCATGAGCAAGTCTCAAGTCTTGACCTACAAGTATCAAGCAAGTCCCAAGTCACTGTGGTGAGAGTCAAGCAAGTCAAGTCAAGTCATTGCTCAGGTCAAGCAAGTCAAGTCATTGCTCAGGTCAAGCAAGTCAAGTCATTGCTCAGGTCAAGCAAGTCAAGTCATTGCTCAGGTCAAGCAAGTCAAGTCAAGTCATTGCTCAGGTCAAGCAAGTCAAGTCAAGTCATTGCTCAGGTCAAGCAAGTCAAGACAAGTCATTGCTCAGGTCAAGCAAGTCAAGTCAAGTCATACGAAATTCTGATGAGTAAGCCCAGTTTCCGCATTTAAATCAGTTAAAAGACAGTGGTTATGAAAATGGATTTAACCCACACTATGATCTTCATTACATACACAGTTAATCATTTGAAATCTAATTTAGACCGATGACAATCATATTAGATTCATATTAACCCTAGAACTGCAGACAATATAGCTACTGTAGGACTCAGTTAAAAAGTCTGTTCAAAAAGGCAGAATTCCAGGTAAGAAAATCATATATGGCATTTGCCATTACACATATTTAATTTAAATGTCTGTTAACACTAGAACCGCCAACAGCGTCAGCACCTACATAGATATCATTTTCAAATCATTTAATTTGTTCCTCTTCATAATTTCCTTATAAACTAAGTAGGACGATTTAAAACTCAGTTAATTGGGTTAATTTAGAAATTGCTTCAGTTTATCATCATAACAGATCAAAAAGTTCAGATTCATTTTTACAATAAATCAAGGAATGATGCACTTCTACAAACAAAACAACATAATTAAAACATTTAAACAAACTACTAAAAGTAGATGAACTACATTATTCAACAGTTTACAGTAACTTCTGAGAATAACACAGGGGAAATAAACGAGGCATCTCCTTTCCTCTCTCTCTCTCCCTCTCCTGACGGCCCGTCAGTATCGGGGTTAGTACAAATGAATCCCTTGGCGGTTCTAGTGTTCATTTACCGTTTTGTCTTCTCTTTGTAATGCTTAATCGATTTGAAACCAAGTCTAACGTAGCTTACACTTAACGTTAGCTTTCTAGCTAACACAACACATTCACGCACCTTTCTCTGTGGGTTTTTTTGTAGTGACGAATGAAGTTGGATGTTGTGGTGGTCGTGTCACTGATCTTTATGCTGCAGACCCTGCATACCGCTGTTCTCTTCTTATTATCGTGATCGACAACATAATCCTTGAATCCAAACTTCACTATTTTTCGAGTAATTTGGAGTAGTGCCATGTTAACTGACGCTCCTGCCGTCTAGTGGGTTGCGAGGTTTGCGCGCATGGCGCTATAATCACCCAATCACGTTTTTCGAAAAAACTAAATGTAATATCTCACTACAAAAACAAACGCAAATATTTAATTTTAAACAGACAAGTCCTTTCAAGTCATCTGTCTCAAGCTTAAGTCAAGTCTCAAGTCATGAATACCAAGTCAAAGTCAAGTCAAGTCTTTTATCAATGTTAGTCAAGCAAGTCTCAAGTCAAAACATATGCGACTCGAGTCAAGTCATGTGACTCGAGTCCCCACCTCTGGTATATGCTAATACTCTGTATGCTTAATATAATGTTTTACCTGTGCGTGTCGACGAACAGATGCTCCTTGTGTGTTGCTAGCAGTATGAATGCAGTCATAACAGATATCTTGAAATGAACACTGGTTCAAAGATCCTCCCACATTTGTCAAAACGTGTAATTCTGGTTCTCCTTCTCAGCCCTAAAGGGGGTTACAGTAACTTGTTATTGTCTTTAACTCTAACTGTTTTCCCTAAATACAAAGTGAGCACAAAATTAGCTGCATGTTCCTAAGAGTTTGTTTTAGCAAGCTAACCAGAGCATCAGTAGAACTATGTTTTAATTAGTCAATATATATATTCTTTACGGAAATGTGAAAAGCATGAAGTTATTTCTGGCTTGTTGAGTAAAGCACGCTGGGAAACAAACAACATGACTCACGTTCATGTTTCTATCAGCAGCCACATGACAAAGTCAATGTGGTTGATTATTGGATGTGGATCAGAATAGTTTTTAACCCTGAATTAGTGTAAATGTAAACGAAAAATGACCTATAGTATGTATGCTGATCTTTCTGAACTAGCTAACGTATATGGCGTTTGTCTGTTAATCCATTAAAGCAAATAATGTTATGTTTGAGGTGTTTTGCCTTCTCCTCCTTCCCTCTGTCTTCTCTCTCTCTCCTGTGCAGTGTGGTGATCGTTAGAAGGCGCAGCTGGTTCACAATGAGGAGCACCTGTTCTCATCTAATCAACTCCTCCATAAAACCCTGGTCATGTTCACACTCCAGTGCCAGATAATTCCGTCTCACTCGTGTCTGCTCGAGCCAGCCTGTGTCCTGCCGCCGCCACCAGCGTGAACTAGATCCACCTTCATTTTGTGGATTGTTTTTTAGTTGTTCCTTTTTGCCTTTATTAAACTTTGTTAAAAGACTGCATCCATCTGGTCTCTGCCATTGTAGGTCCTGAACTTTTGACCCAGCCCTAACAGATAAATAATAATTCAATATGTTGATGATTGCTGTATCACACATAAATATAGCTTTTAACCCTGAATTTGTGTAAAAGTAAACAAAATATTACTTATAGTATGTATGCTGATCTTTCTGAACTAGCTAACGTATACGCCATTTGTCTGTTATCCCATTCAACCAAATGAAACATAATTCAATATGCTGAGGATTGCTGAATCAAACATAAATATGGTTCCAAAAAGAAAAACTTAATTGGAAAACTTCCATAAAGACAGTTTCCAAGTGTTGTCGGTGTGTTTTTTTTTGCATGTTATTGTACACTCCTTTGAATTGTTGACCTACTGTATGGAGCCGTTAGAGATTCTGCACCTCCCTCTATTTATCCTGAAATATTCCTCTTTTGTGCTCCAGACTATCAATATCTTTTATAGTTTCATCTGAATGTAAGGCAAGACAAGGCAAGGCAAGTTAATTATATAACACAATTAAAAGTGCTTTACAAAATGTAATGTGCCTGGTTCAAGATGTCAACACCCTGTATTCTCTGATTCTCACCTTTCTGTTTATGGTAGTGTTTGCTTATGCAGACACAACAGCAATGACATTTTTTTAAGTTGGGTGATTGTCCAATTAAGTTCAGAGTAATTGCTTTTGACAATAACTCTGAACTTAATTGGACAATTACCTAAAAATGTAAAAACATAATTATTAAGATTATTTTCAATTGGAACATTTCGTATGATAAAATCCCCATAGATTAGTCTTTCTTTTAGGGATTTCATACTGTTGATATACCTTTTTGTTGCTATTTGCTACTATGACTGAAGCTAAAATGATTAGGACAAAGGCTGCCAGCGCATTCCACCTTGGAAAAAAAAGAATATGTTATATCTGAGGCTTTGAGCTGACTTTAAAAAAAAATGTTGTGCTACTAAATGAAAATATCTGAATGATTTACTTTTGGCATTATGGTAGCATGCCAAAAGTCAGCTTGCTATCACATCACATCTCCCTCATTAGTGCCGAGTACAACCTGTACGTGTGTGTGTGTGTGTGTGTGTGTGTGTGTGTGTGTGTGTGTGTGTGTGTGTGTGTGTGTGTGTGTGTGTGTGTGTGTGTGTGTGTGTGTGTGTGTGTGTGTGTGTGTGTGTTAGTGATTGTGAAAAACACTAGACCATTTTTCTTTTCTTATTTGAGAAAAATTTGTTCGACTGTAACTGACTCCAATGTTGGTGCATCTCACAAACAAATGTCTTTTTTGGGAAAGACTTCATTACGGGGAGATCAGTGAACAGAATTTTTATTTTTTCAAGAAGCACATAAAGGTCAGTTTGAAGGAAAAGGCTGTTTTTTTCTTCCTAGGCCTATATTTAAAAAAACAAACAATGAGGAACTCTCAACACTTTCTAACATCCCTACCTCTTTTTTTTAGCTAATTAATTTCTACTGTAAATATTTAAAACAGATCAAAAATATAACCTTTCATATTTTAACAAGACTGACTATAAAGAGTAGTGATGTGTCGGTCGCGAACGAGCCGATTCTTTTGAACGGCTCTTTGGTACGAACGAGGGGAACCGAGTCCTACTTGGTGAGAGCCGTTCTTGTTATCGTTCAATCGTTGGTCCGCACGGTCCGCACTCACTGCCTGCCAAAATCCACTCGCCTTTTAAAAAGCTTGATTTTGTTCCCCAAACGTATTCTGTGAAGACCCGCCACTACTCTGATTGGTAGGTTTCAGCACGAGGAGTGAGATGGGGTGGGTCTTAACGGAATACGCGCGAGAGAGAAATCATAACAAGTGGTACAGGACAGGGAGACGACGTGTTTTTCGGATGGAAAATGAGCCAAACGCGAAAACGCAGCAGCATTTGGATGCACTTCAACCAAAACCCAGGCAGTGATAAAGCGCACCATTTGTAAAGGCAAAAATATCCTTTAAAGCAGGGTCAACAAATAATCTCCATCGCCACTTAAAAAAACAGTATCTAATATTAAGAGTTGCATGAATTTCATTCAAGGCAAGGCAACTTTATTTACTTAACACATACAGAGGGTAAATTCAAAGTACATTCACTGACATGAATGACATGGATATGGCGCCACCTTGTGTCATGTTTACAATGCCGATTATTGACATTCGGTCTGGCAATCATTATCCTGGTGATTATTTTGCAGATAAACCTAGTAACCTTAAAAAAACGGCTCTTTTGAACGGCTCTTTGAAAGGAACGGAGCCATAAGATCCGGCTCCCTTCAAAGAGCCATAATTCCCATCACTAATAAAGAGAGCTACATGCTAACAGGCTAAGCAAGTATAGTGTTTGCCGTGTTCAGTGCAGCTTATGGTGGTGGAAAAAGACCAATTATTAAAAGATATCTTGTAAAGTAGTAAATAGTATATATATTTTCAGCTGATGATTCAATTTGGTTCACTTGTGAAGCAAATGTGTATTTACAGTATCACAATCGCGTATGTGGACAAATACAAAGTACAGTACCAATGTTTGACGTTATCAATCTTTTCTCCAGTGCACCATGCTGTGTGAATTTGTTTATGTACTTTACTGACCTGATAAGGAACATACTCTAGATGTCAATCTGTCGGTCAGAATGTGTTATTCAAACTGAGTCACTCTGTACAATTGCACGATAGGAACATGGTGTGCTTTGAAATGGGCGAGTGGGAATGTGTTCAGGAAGGGTGTGTGTGTGTGTGTGTGTGTGTGTGTGTGTGTGTGTGTGTGTGTGTGTGTGTGTGTGTGTGTGTGTGTGTGTGTGTGTGTGTGTGTGTGTGTGTGTGTGTGTGTGTGTCGCCCCTCCCTACTGGCCGATCACGCAGACTGCGTGGGGCCTCACCTCGCGGAGGGGGCCTCAGCTTGCGGAGGGTGCTTCATTTTGCGGAGGGTGCTTCATTTTGCGGAGGGAGCCTCATCTGAAGCGCAAATGCGGCGCACCTCCAGTGTAAGCGCGCCACAGTTTCGCCGCTGCGAGGCTCCACTAGCACCCGTCCGTCCGTCCGTCCCCGTCGACGCTCGCGACACAGAGGGCCTCATCATATAACTTTGCGTGGGGCCACAAGTTGGCCAGGGGCGGCCCTGGTCGCACGGTAGCCTCGCCCTGAATCAAACCTTGCTTTAACAACATTTTCTTAAAAATCTTGATATTAAAAAAAGGGTATATTTTTGCAACCATTGGAATAAGCCCCCAGTTGGCTTTTAAAGAAAGTTTAACGTTTAAGGCACAATTACATTTGATAAATGTTTTACAAAATGGAGCTAACTTGTGCGCTGGAGTTTCCCATAATTGGGTATGCTAACTTAATCAAGAATATTTTTAGAGCAGCCAATAGCATTATTAATCCAAAACATAATTACTTGAACTCACCTCTTCTTATTATAGAATAACATTTCCCACATCTATTTCATTCAATGCCGTCTTCTGAGACTGCATTCATTTGCCAACTTAATTTTTTTCACTGTCAACAATTACTAAATTACGCAATTACTCGAACCACATCTTAAATAGCTTCCTGTAGCAGTGCCAGCTGGAGCACATGCTTACAGTAAGTTGCCGTCACATGATGCCATTGTTTTTCTGTGGAGA